TTTAATTTTAAAAAATAGGAACTCTAATATTTTTTTCATACTGCTGTGGATCACACATTTCTGTTTAGAGTGTACAAGCCTTTTTTTGTTTCAGGTCATTTGTCTTCTTTTTAGAGGCTACCCTGTGGCTGGCTTCTTTGTATTCTTCATGTCTCAGCTTCAATTTTACTGCCTCTTTTTTTTTCTTAAGAGACAGCGTTTCACTCTGTCACTCAGGCTAAAGTGTAGTGGCGTAATCACAGCTCACTGTAGCCTCGACCTCCTGGGCTCAAGTGATTCTTCTGCCTCAGCCTCCTAAGTAGCTAGTATTACAGGCACGTGTCACCACACCCAGCTGATTTAAAAAATTTCTTGTACAAATGGGGTCTTCCTGTGTTTCCCAGGTTGGTCTTGAACTCCTGGTCTCCAGTGATCCTCCTGCCTTGGCCTCCCAAAGGGCTGGGATTACAGGTGTGAGCCACCGTGCCTGGCCATCACTGCCATTTTCTGATTGCCCTTCCTAGATTTGTTCCTCTCCTTTTATTTTCTACCACAATATTCTCGTTTCCTTTATGGTACTTTTGTGAAAATAAGTAACATACTTTTAAATAATTCATCAGCTGAAGGAGAAATCTCAAGAGAAATCAAAATATACTTAGAACTGGATGAAAATAGAAGTTACAAATTATCAAAATTTATGGAATGAAGCTAGAGGTGTGCTGAGAGGGTAATTTATAGCATTAAATGCCTATATTAGAAAAGAGAAAAGGTCTTAAATCAATAATCTAAGCTTCCATCTCAAGAAACTAGGAAAAAAACACAAGAAACAAAAACACTGCCAAAACTTCAAAGCAAGCAGAAGAGAAGAGCAGAAATCAATGAAGTTGAAAATAAAAACAGTAGAGAAAAATCAGTGACTAACGGAAAGTTTATTCTTTGAAAACATCAGTCAAATTGATAATCTTTAGCAAGAGAAGGTTAAAAGCCTGGCATGGTGGTGAGCACATTTGGTCCCAGCTACTCAGGAGGTTGAAGCAGGCGGATCCCTAGAGCCCCGGCGTTTGAATCCAGCCTGACCCCCATCTCTTAAAAAAAAAATAGAGAAGAAAATTACCAATAGTAGAAATGAAATGGGATATAATTGTAGATCCTGTTGGTATTAAAAGCATAGTAAGAAACCACTAGGAACAGCTCTGTGCATTAATTTAAATGGACAAATTTCTCAAAACCATGCACTATCAAAAACCCAATATGAAATAGATAATTTAAATAGTGTTACAACTATTAAAGAAATCGAATCCATAATTCAAAACCTTTCATAAGACAAATTGGGAACCAGGTAAGGATGTCTGTCCACTCTCACCACTCCTTTTCAACATTGTACTGGATGGAGGGTCTAGCCAGGGCAGTTAGACAAGAAAAAGAAATAAAGGACATATAGATTGGAAGGGAAGAAATAAATTCCTTTTTGTATGTAACATGATTGTCTGTGTATAAAGTCCCAAGGAATTTAAAGTTATTTGAGCTTTAATTTTATTTTCTCAACTCCAGGAACTCCTTTTTCATACCATATTGTTTTACAATCTGCATTCTGAGCTTTTTTGTGTTGAATTCATGGAGGAAGTGAAGTCATCTGGAGGAATGCACTGTAGCCTTTTTGAAGAAGCTGAACTCTTTTTTTGAGACTTTTTTTGAATGTCTTAAACCAGCTTTCTTACCACCTGCTAGTGGAGTATATAGGATTCTAGGAGAATTTGGGTCATTTTAGCTCAACTAACATAAAGCCCTGGATTCTGTGCTTTAATTAGAAACAATTACTTATATTATTGGCTTTTTCTATTTTGCCTCTCTCTCCCTACCAATAAGAAGAAGGAAATCATAAAGATGTCCCCTCCTCTTTTCTTTTCTCCAAGTTTGTGTATATTAACTCACATATTTTTATGATTGTCTATTCTATACAGTGAAAACACCTTGGAAAGCACTCACTGGTGTAGAGTTCTGCAAATAACATCAGACAGTATGATAGAAATCATTTAAAAAATTGTTTTCCTTACTATGTAATGTTTGAGGTATTTATATTGTTCTTACTCTTTTGTGTTTAATATCTCCAATTTTTAAACTCTCCATTTTTGCAGAATCATGTGACATTTACAGTTGAAAAGGAAGATACCAATAGATGTTATTCTTACCCACTTTACTAACTGAGGACTCTCTATTTCTTACTGAGAAGAAAGCCATGCATTAGGAACTCTGCTTTTCATTGTACAGGGCGATAATTCTCAATGCACTTTGTATTTCTGCACATATTGCAAGCAGAGATGCTGATTACTTTTTTTTTCCAGGTTACTTTTTCAAAAATGTTTGTATAGCAAGCACTCTTGGAAGACAGAGACGATGGCTTCCTCTAGAACAAAAGATTTGCTTGCAGCCCATTCATTATAGAAAGCTTGGGGTTTTTCTGTTATAACACAGCCCACTGTTGGCACTGTGTCAAGTGTCCCTCTTTATGTTGCCCTTGAGATTGGGGACCAGATGCAAAAATGAAGGTAGTCTGGCTACTATAATTGCTATGGGAAATAAATTGTCCTTTTTCTCTGATCAGGAATCTCATGTCTTCTGCCTGCAGCCATGAAACTGTCATGCTGATTTGTGAGGTTAGGAGTAGAGTAAAATCTCACAGACTTTATAGTTTCTGACACATTTAGTGCACATTATTAATTGAACATCATTAATAAAAAAATGAGTGCTTTGGTAGGCCTAGATGAAGGATGTAGGCTTAGAGATGTTAAGTAGCTTATCTGAGGTCTGGCTCTTAAACTGGTGCTCTCACACTTTATTGCCTATAGTTCCTATCTTAAAGGCATTTTATATAAAATTAAATATTGATGGAGTACTTTTACTGTGTTAGATGTAAGTTGGTGTAATTTAAAATTTTTTTCTATACAGGATTATATGGAATATTTAAGTTGAATTGTGACATTTAACTTAATATGCTTTGATTTTTTTAAAAAAATCATAGCTAATAATAAGTTTTGAGTTTTTTTGTATTTTTTTTTTTTAAGAATTGTTCTCTGTGTACTGCAAGCTGTATCTCAAACCTTCGCAAGACGTTCATAGAGTTTTAGTGGCTAGAATAATTCATGCTGTGACCAAAGGATGCTGTTCGCAAACTGATGGATTAAATTCCAAATTTTTGGATTTTTTCCCCAAGGCTATTCAGTGTGCAAGGTAATCTAATCTCTTTGTTTTGTTTTGTGTTGAAATTCATTTAATCTTCTTGCAAGACCATGTTTTAGGTTCAATAATTAAAAAATAATGGAGCTAATGGGTTCCTAAAGAGACAGTTCCAAACTTCCTGAATATCCAATATGCAGAACACTGCATGGTGTTCTTAATTGGGAGATCTATCCTGCTGTTCTAATGACAAGGAAAATTAAATGTTCTCTAAGTAGTTTCATTTTCCCTATTTTGAGGATGAATGTTATATAATGAGAATAAAATAGGAATATATTCTGGAAGTATTTGTATATTTGGTATTACCCAATTTATAATGTGAAACATTTTAAAATGGTAAATATTACACATCAGTTTTGTTTATTTTTAGACAGTGTTTCAGCAACAGGGAGAGCTAGCAGGAGTGGTCTCTTATTATCAAATAAGAACTAAATGTTGTTGCTATGTAGTACTGCTGTGATTTTTTTTTTAATGAATACTTTTGAAATTAAGGCTATTGTTTGAAAATTAGATTTTTTTTTTCTTTCAGCATGTAGCTTCATAACTGTCTTCAATTTGTGCAGTTTGTTCCCCTGGTTATGCCAAGTTGAATTTATTTGTTTTTTTGTCACAGACAAGAAAAGAGCTCTGTAGGTCTAAATCATATCTTAGCAGCCCTTATTATCTTCCTCAAGACTTTGGCTGTCAACTTTCGAATTCGAGTGTGTGAATTAGGAGATGAAATTCTTCCTACCTTGCTTTATATTTGGACTCAACATAGACTTAATGATTCCTTAAAAGAAGTAATTATTGAATTATTTCAACTGCAAATTTATATCCATCATCCAAAAGGAGCCAAAACCCAAGAAAAAGGTATGAAGGAAGTTTTTACAGTTTTAAATTTGCTTCTTCATTAAAGCATAGACACTTAAGAATGAAATCAATACTCTGGGAGGATATGAACTTCCTCTGGATTTCTCTGTTTGATAATGTTATTAGTTACGAGAATGTTTCTTATATAGTTTTTAGAATTTGAAGAAGTAGTAGCAAATTCTATCATGCCTTTCTATTTGTTCAATGCAGTGTTAGATATTATGAGAGATACAAACAAATATGGGATACTTTCCCCTCCAGCAGCTGATTAGGTACTAAATGGTCTGACACAAACTAAAGGGCAAAAGAATTGAGAGAAAGTGGGATAATGTTTATCCACATATTGCTTTTACTAGAAGATAAAGTAGATAAATTGGACTGAAAACAGATTCGGTTCCCAAGGAAGATATATATATAACTTCATAGGAATGTGAGGTGGAAAGGGGAAATTGGTGCCTTAGACATCATAGTTACTCCAAGCCTCTGTTTGCTGGGAAAACCAGAAATGAACCACCTGTCTTCCTTGGTTAGTTTATACTTGTCTTTCACCAAGACAGTATTACTTGGAAGGCATAGTTCTTATCAGTAGATATGAACTATATTAGGTGGAACTGGAGCTTAAAGAGCTCCCACATGCTCAGTCTGTGGATTGCCTTTGGGCTTGTACTAGCCTTTGGACCAATTCATCATAATGACCTTATTAAGACAGCATACCACATTGAGTAATAGTGGCTAAAATGGAGGAAAACTGTTGTAGCCACTTTTTTATATTTTTAATTTTTTTTTTTATTTCAGCATATTATGGGGGTACAGATGTTTAGGTTACGTATGTTGCCCTTGCCCCCCTGTCCCCCTTATATTTTTAATTTTTAAAATTTTTTGTAGAGATGGGGGTCTCACAGTGTTACACAAGCTGGACTTGAGCGCCTGGCCTCAAGTGATCCTCTTTCCTTGGCTTTCCAAAATGCTGGGATTATAGGCATGAGCCACCATGCCCAACCTGTAGCCACTTTTTATGAAAAGTAGCTATGTATGTTTTTCATGGGCTCTTCTGGTATGTATTTGTATAGGTAGATGTGTATATTCCATGAAACCACCGTAAGTCAAAGAATGGTGGCTTTTCATAGTTTTTCATCTTTCACCTAGCTCCTCTCACTAGCATAAAGATCAGGCTTATTAGGAGGTGGTATAACATGTTTAGGGTTTTAGTTAACTGCATATTTAGGATGAATTAAAAATTGACATGATGATGAGGCTGCTAGAAATGCTAATGTGGTTTCAGGTTACATTAATGAATTTTATGATACTTTGTGGGATTTAATATTGCTCCCCATGCTAGTGTGACCACAGTTGGAGTATTATGTTCACCAGATTTTGTGGAGTCAGCATTTTAAGAGGGACATAAATTGACTGGAGTGTGTCTTGGGAAAAATGACTGGGATGGTGAAAAGTCTGTGTAACATGTCATTTGTACACTAGTTGAGGGAACTGGTAATGTTTTTCTCTAGACAAAAAAAAGACATAAGGAGAACTTGGTTCTCATGTGAAAGAGGAAACATATTAATGATTGTATTTGCCTCAAGGAGAGAATAAATTAGAGAAAGGTGGATTTTAGATCAGAATATAGAAGAAATTTATAGCAAATACAGTTATCTAAATGTAAAATGGACACTGTTATAGAGTAGAGTTTGTCAAGGATGTTGTCAGAAGAGACATTAATACTGAATGGAAGATTGGACCAGATGTTTTCTAATGTCAATGCACCTTGACAGCTGAATAATTTTGTGGGAGTTGGCAGAGCATATACATATATTTTATTTTAATTTTTTGGATTACAGGTGCTTATGGATCAACAAAATGGCAAAGTATTTTACACAACTTATATGATCTGCTAGTGAATGAGATAAGTCATATAGGAAGTAGAGGAAAATATTCTTCAGGATCTCGTAATATTGCTGTCAAAGAAAATTTGATTGAATTGATGGCAGATATTTGTCACCAGGTATAGTAGTTCATGTCACATTGCAAAATTTCCTGTTAATTTTTCTTTTACTGGGCTTTTAGAACCTGTATTCTCATAAAAAGCCTATAGAATTATTTGGTACATGTAACTCTTCCTTTCAAAATATTAAATATCAAAAATATTTGGAATTACCCTTTTAACTTAGATAATGCTTTTTGCAGGTATGGACTTAGTATGGACTTAGTAAAAACTAATAATGAACTTTTGCATTCTTAAAAGATTGTCTATAGGAAATAAGGAGACTAACCCTAATGTGTCTTTTTTTTAATTGATCCAGAATTCACATAGCATAAAATTCACTGTTTTGAAGTGTACAATTCCGGCTGGGCATGGTGGCTCACACCTGTAATCCCTGTGTTTTGGGAGGCCACAGTGGGAGGATCGCTTGAGGTCAGGAGTTCGAGATGAGCCTGGACAACATAGCAAGACACTTTCTCTACAAAAAATAATTAAAAAAATTAGCTGGGTGTGGTGATATGTGCCTGTACTGCCAGCTATTCGGGTGGCTGAGGCAGGAGGATTGCTTGAGCCCAGGAGTTTGAGGCTGCAGTGAGCTGTGATTGCACCACTGCACTCCAGCCTGGGTAACACAGTGAGAGCCTGTCTCTAAAAAAAAAGAAAGAAAATTGTAGTGTACACTTCAGTGGTTTTTAGTATTTTTACTATGTTATGCAACCACCACCACTAATTCCAGGACATTTTCATCACCCTAAAGACACCTTATACCTACTTAGCATTCAGTCCCAATTCACTATTTCTCTTAGCTCCTGGCAACCAGCCTCTAATCTACTTTTAGCCTCTATGGATTTGCCTATTTTAGACATTTCATTTAAATAGAATCATACAATATATAGTCTTTTGTGTCTGGCTTCTTTTACTTAGCACAATGTTTTAAGATTCATTCATGTTGTACCATGAATCATTTCTTTTTATGCCTGAATAGTATTCAGTTGTATGGATATACTATGTAATTTTGCTTACCCCTTCATCACCTTTATGGCCTAATATTTCTTAAGTAAAACTTTCTTCCCCAGAGATTTGGTTAACATCCTGGGTAGTAATTTCATGCTATCAAATATTTCCTTAATGGGAAATTTAAAAATTTAATGCCTTTGAAAATACAGGTTTTGGTTTTACTTTTAGATTTCTTGGTGCTTTCAGTAAATATTCCCACCAAATAAAACTAATACATCACTTGATAATATCTGCTTTCTGAGAGTGCCATTACTGTCAACTATCATGCAAAATGTTTATTTCTTAATATGTTGTCATATGTTTCTATAATTTATTACTCTTACTTTATGGGTTCCCTGTATCTTCATTGGAGAAGGAATATTTATTTTCCTAACGAACTATTAGAGGACAGTAGCAATGAAAAAAGTGGTTTTATTTTTATTTCACAGGTTTTTAATGAAGATACCAGATCCTTGGAGATTTCTCAGTCATATATCATTACACAAAGAGAATCTAGTGATTACATTGCACCTTGCAAAAGGAAGAAAATAGAGTTAGGCTGGGAAGTAATAAAAGATCATCTTCAGAAGTCACAGAGTGATTTTGATCTTGTGCCTTGGTAAAATGTTATCTTTTTCTCATTCACTGTCACTTTAGTCTCATTTAATTTTTCTCAGAAAACTTTCAGTAGAATTCTTTCATTTCATTGGCCAGAACTAACTCATTTTTCTACTCCCGAGTCAATTATACTACAAAAGGGAAATATGATTGCCATGATATGTTGAGATCAGTCATTAATGGTACATCTGCTGGGACCAGGGGCAGGCCCACCTTTCCCAATAATATTGTCTAGCAAATAAGAAGGGAGAATGGCTGGTAGGCAAACAGTAGTATCTGCCTCATGGAATTCACTGAGTTGTATGCCTCAACATGGGATTTTAGTATGTGTAACACCTAATAGAATTAGATCAGGAAGAAGTTAAAGATAACCTTCAGAAATCACAGAATAATTTTGACCATGATAAAAGGTTATTTTTTCTATCATCTTTATTCTTATATAGCATTCACAAATATTTAAATAAAGTAAATTATGGAATTCTGTGGAAGCACAAAATATTAGGTCTGGTAAGGATGTTTAGAATTTATCCAGTTCAGCCTATTTTGCTTTACTAAAAAAATGGAAACTCAAAAAGGTTAAGCAACTTGGCTAAGGTCAGTTAGAAATTTAGAGTTTATGGTCAAACTTGTGATCAATGCTCTTTTGATTTTTACCATGTTGATGAAATATTTAAATACAAATGACTCATGGGGAAAAAGCTTATTGATTAGGTACCTATTACTTAAGCTCATGTTTACATAGTTGAGGGTGCCTATTTCAGAATCTTTAATTTGTCTATTTACAGTTATTTATTGAACACCTGCTGTGTGCCAAGCATTAGGGATACAGAGATGAATAACATAATGTTCCCATTCTTAAGTAGCACGTATTCTAGAGAATTCACAGCAAACATTTATTGAATTAACCGAATTAATGTCAAGGAAAAACAGATTTTGGGGTTTCTTTGTTTTCTTGATTTAGGGGAATAATTTTGGTAATTAAAGAATGAACATGGGCAAGATAATTCAGAAGTAGAATATTGCTAATTTGGTATCCTTTCAAATTTTTATTTAAGGGAGGTATAGCAACTTACCCAGCTAGCTAAAACATCAATCTTCTTGCCACTTTAGAATGTAGGACCAAATAAATATTAAGAGCTAGTTTATTTTGAGAGTAGTATGGAAAATGATTATGGTGATACTCTAAGTAAGATATTAAAAGGGTACCCTATATAAATATTTATTTTCTTAGTTTATTAATGGGATTGAATAGTTTCAAATTATCCTCTTTTTTTTTTTTCTTTTAGGCTACAGATTACAGCTCAATTAATATCAAAGTATCCTGTGAGTTTACCTAACTGTGAGCTGTCTCCATTACTGATAATACTATACCAGCTTCTACCTCAACAGCGACGTGGGGAACGCACACCATATGTGTTACGATGCCTTATGGAAGTTGCATTGTGTCAAGGCAAGAAATCAGACCTCGAAAGCTCACGAAAGTCAGATTTATTGAAACTCTGGAATAAAATTTGGTCTATTACCTTGCGTGGTTTAAGTTCTGAACAAATACAAGCTGAAAACTTTGGCTTACTTAGAGCCGTAATTCAAGGTGGTTTAGTTGAGGTTGACAAAGAATTCTGGAAGTTATTTACTGGGTCAGCTTGCAGACCTTCATGGTAAGTTTAATTTAATATGAATTGTATCAGATTTTATAGGTACACACACACACACACACACACACACACACACACACATCCCTGATTATTTTCAGAGTTTGATACTTCAATTAAAGAAAAGTTAAATTCTATTTCAGATGCTTTTGTTGTTTGGCCAGGAAGACTTAATAAATGCATAAATAAATGTGAATTTTGTTTCAAATGGGCAGAGATTACTTAAAGGCTGGTTTTAAGGAATGTCTTTTTTACAATTAAAAAAATTTTTTTTGGTATATAATAGATGTACATATTTTCAGGGTTCATGTGATAATTTCATACACTCATATAATCACAGGGTAATTGGGATATTCATCACCTTAAATATTTAGCTTTTCTTTATGTTAGAAGCATTTGAATTCTTCTAGGTATTTTGAAATCTGTAATAGATTGTTTACTATAGTCATCCTACTGATCTATTGAACACCAGGTCTTAGTTCTTCTTTAACTATATATTTGTACCCAAAAGAATTTCTTTATAGAATTATTGATTTTAAATTTCTTCTATGTATAATTTAGAATTTGTTCAATATTCATAAACCTAATTTTTTTGATATACTGCTTGCTGTTATTTTAAGAGAAGAGTTTTTAATCAAGAATCTTTTCTAATGTCATCAGAGTTTTTTACAATTTTTGTGTCCATTTAGTCAACAAAAGTTGACCAAATGTACGTGCCTGGCAGTGTCCTGAGCATTGGAGGCACGGTGGTAGATAAGATAGACAAGATGTCTCTCCCTCAAAGAGCTTAGTTTTAACAACTGTCTTTTGTTTTGTTATAGTCCTGCAGTGCGCTGTTTGACTTTGGCACTGACCGTCAGTGTGGTTCCAGAAACAGTAAAAATGGGAATAGAGCAAAATATATGTGAAGTAAATAGAAGTTTTTCTTTAAGGGAATCGATTATGAAATGGCTCTTATTCTATCATTTAGAGGATGACTTAGAAGATAGTACAAAACTGCCTCCAATTATTCACAGGTAATTTCAGTCCATTAGCATGCTGCTGATTTTTTGTTTTGTTTTATAAGGCTCCTTCCATTTATTTGATACCAGATGGTTTTATTTTATAATGATAATGCAGGATTTCTCAGAGCTAGCCCTAAATATTAAACATTCCCTTTGTTTTTATAGTGTTTTGTGTCTTTGTGCTGTGATCATTTCTGAAATAAATATTTAATAAAAGGTCTTACTGTGAGAATAAGGGGGGGAGGGTGTATATGAAGCACATGCATGTAACTCTTTGAGCATTTATGTGTTACTTTGTGATCTAATATAAATAGGTCCATATATCTGACTCAGGTGGATCCTAGATCCTTATTCATAATGGGAGTATCTTCTGGGTGAAATGTGTTATATTTTTAGGTATGGAATGTTTGATTTTCTTAAATACTAGGTTTGACAATTGATATCTCTGACATTTCACTTTGACATTTCTTGTTTGTTTTTTTTTTATTGTGACGGTATATCCTCATTCTTTCAAATGCATGTTCTGGCTTGGGATTATCTTTCCAATTTTTTTTTTAGAGCAATTTTTGTGAAATCATTGATAAGTCCAAAATTTGTGTTATTTTTTAATGTGAGTTCTGTTGTGGAACCAGTGCAGTGCAGACAGCTGGAAATATCAACAAAGTGTTTGGGAAGGATGTGGCTAATAAACACAAGTGCGTCGATGGTGGGAGAAATTACATTCTGGTAATTTTAATCTTGAAAATGACCCATGTGGGTGACCTGAGACCAAGGTGAATAATGATGAGCTGAAAGCTGCAGTGGAAGCGAATCCATCTCAACCTACACATGAATTAGAGCAAGGTTTGACATTACTATTTCAGCAGTTTGGACCATTTGAAACAAATGGGCAAGGTAAAGGAGCTGGATAGATAGGTACCACACAAATTAAACGTCAGAAGAGAAATCGTCTCGAAGCTTGCCTTCCTTTTCTGTCGTGACATAAAGGCAAGCCATATCTACACCATATTGTTATGTGTGATGAAAAATGGATTCTTTTTGACAGTTGCAAGCATTCAGCACAATGGTTGGATAAAGACGAAGTGCAGAAACACATTCCAAAGCTGAATTAATATTCATCAAAGAAAGCTAATGGTGTCTGGTGGTTCAGTGCTGGTATTATCCACTACAGCTTCACGAAACCTGGTCAACTGATGAAATGATGAGGATGCTTGCTATTAAGCAACTAAGGTTGGTCAGTAGAGACAGGCCAGTCTTCTTGCAAGACCACATGTCACAAAAAACAATGCTGCTCAAACTACAGAAGCTGTATTTGAAACCTCTCTGTCATCCACAGTATTCACCAGACCTTGCACCAACAGAGTAGCACTTCTTCCAGGCTTTGGACCACTTCTTGCAAGGAAAAATATTCAATTCTTAACAAGCTGTGGTAAAGGCCTTTCACGATGTCATGGCTACTCGCTCTCCAGTCTTCTTCACTGCTAGCATAAACAAGCTACCATTAAGATGGCAAAATTGTGTTGGTAGTTTAGGCACATACTTTGATTACTTGTACTGCTTCTTGTTTGAGATATAATAAACTAAACTTTTGATTTGAAATCGGACGTTTTATATTTGATGACCTAATAGTATAATAATTGGGTGAGGAAACAAGAGGAAGATGAAATAGGACTTAATGCACTAGGAAAAGGGAGCAGCTTGCCCACTTAACCTTTCCACAGATGGTAATTGGAACAGAATGATTGGAAAACAGATCTCTGGATCCTAGTACATTTGCTTTAATTTCACAACCTCTTACGTATTTCAGAAATGATATTAATAAATTAGACATGATTCTGCTTCCAAGTAATGTTGGAAATGATAGTAACATAATGTGTGTCATCTTTAAATTCTCCTTTCAGATACTAAGAAATTCAGTACAGATGAAAGTAATTTTAGTATCCAAATTTTGGAGGTCAAAATTTATAGCCAAACATAGATGTTTAAGTTCAAAGGATTCTTTAATTGACTTTTGGTGTTTTAAGTGAATCTTTTTATTTGTCTTTATAGCAATTTTCCTCATCTCGTAGTGGAGAAAATTCTTGTGAGTCTCACTATGAAAAACTGTAAAGCTGCAATGAATTTTTTCCAAAGTGTGCCAGAATGGTATGTTATTACCAATATGGTTCTGTGTTATTTTAAGATATTAGCTTTAATTACAAAGATAATTTTAGCAGGGTGGTGGCTCTGTCTTAATAATTATCAACTAAATTGGTCAAGTAAGAAAAAGTCACAACTGTTAGCCAGGGAAAAGCTTTTAATTCAATGATTGTAATCTGTCTTCTGCAATACAAGGTCACTATTTTTTTTTAATACTGTACAGTGTAACATGACAAGTGCCAATGGAAAAAATTGAATTGTTATGGGAAATTAACATAAAGTTTACGTGAAATGAGTTCTTAAAGGTGTGACCCATTTTTATACATCAAGTAAGATTTGACTGTTTGTTAGATTTAAAAACTAATGATAATTGAAAACAAAAAAAAGTCTAAAACCCTGATTTTACCTGATTGACTTAAGAGACTACGTTTTATTTCTGTGACCGAAAATGACTCACTGGGTAAAGATTCCTAATCTCCCTCAAGAGGGTATAAAATGAAAAATATCCTACATTTTTAGAGAAATTGAAAGTGAAAAAAGGAACCTGTTTTCACACAATGTTATTCTCAGTGTTTATTTCCTGTGTTATTTTCTTTTTAATACTTTCTGGACTTGCCTTTGAAATTGTAACTTGTATTTCTTTTGTCTATCTATAGTAAAATTTATTGAATTATGAAATGTGATACAAGTAGGTATCAGCCCAACCAAGGGAAGCACTTAAAAGAATATTAATTGTATAAGCAGTCTTTGAATGACGTAGATGCTATAATATTTTGATTTATAATATATTGCTAATACATGGAGGTGAAGCATTAGGTAGTTTGTATATTAAAGCTCTTACTTTCTTGAAGTGAACAACATGAAAAAGATAAAGAAGAATCTTCATTCTCAGAAGTAGAAGAATTGTTTCTTCAGACAACTTTTGACAAGATGAACTTTTTAACGAATGTGAAAGAATGTGCTATAGAAAAGCACCAATCCATTATTGGCTTTTCTGTCCACCAAAATCTCAAGGAATCACTGGATCATTGTCTTCTGGGATTATCAGAACAGCTTCTAAATAATTACTCATCTGAGGTGAGATGCTAAAAAAAAGAAGTAAAGCTTATGTTTGATTCAACTTTGGTAGACTGTTAGGAGAAATGGGGGCAGGAAAGACACTAAGGGTGGTGAGAAGCATGGTTTTAAAAGCAAAATGCAGTACAGGGCTATACATCAGAAAAACTTGGCATGAATGTAGGAAAACTAAAGAATAATAATTTGAATGCTTTACTTGTACTGAGGATTCCAGTAGATATAAAAGAATTCTTTGTGTAGGCTAGTGGGGAATAATAAGGATTTTAGTGTAGGGTTTATATGATGAAAAGTACCTCTCAGTACAAAGGAGGGAGATGTTACAGTAACAGAAAAGGACATAATTTAAACAGATCTAATAGATTTTGGTGGCATTTGAAGAGGGAGGAATGATAAATAAAGATAATAAATGGACTAGCTATTACCCATTTTCTAGAGGTCATCTAGGAATTTCTCATCTGTGATTTTCTTTGTTCTCATAAAATCACAAATTCTCTTCATGTGTGCTGTTCTCTTGCCAAAACTCTCATTTCTTTCAACATGAAATATCTTTCTACTTATTTCTTTGTATTTAAATCATCTACATGTCAAAATCCTTGCTAAAGTCTTTCTTAGATAATCTCAGCCATAATAAATTTTCATATTTCAAATTTTTTTTTTTCATATTTCAAATTTTTAAATGGCAGTTAGCATCTTTTTTGTACTATGAGTATTTACATATGTTTTGTACACAAATATCTCTTAAACTATGCCGGATGCTCCTTCAGGGGCACATACATTTTTATTAATCTTTGTATCCTCCACGGTACCTTATTACATGGTAAATGGTAAAATATTTATTGAATAAAATAAAGCATGCAAGTTACTCAAAGAAGTGAATTCAGTATCCAGGGAAAATGACCTGAAGAACCTAGAAGGAACAAACAGTATCTACTAGCAAAAAGGGCTTGTGCTAGTCTGTGGAGTCTAAAAAGCTGAATAAGTCAAGGCACTTGTCCTTCTGAAGCTGAAAGTATCATTTTAATGTCTCTTTATATTAATATAATTTCTGCTCATTTGCTAAGACTTGTAGACATTTATTAGCCTGTCAATCTATTTTTTTCTTCTTTTCTTTCATCTCTACCTCAAATATTTAAGGACTTGTGTCTGTAATACAACATGCCACTTTAACAAAAAATATCCTACTTGGCCATAAGGAGATACTTAGGCTGTTTTTCTTGAGAATCTTATTTGTCATAACTCTACAGTGATCTCTTCGATGTTTTTAGAGATGTTCGGTATAGGCCACCTTTTAACTCACGTAACTGAACTTTTGTTTCTTAATATGTACAGAAAATTTGTTCTTGTGAAAGGTAATTCTAGAATATACAAAACTATTTATGAAATATGTATATTTTTATTTGTGGCTTACTTTAAGATTACAAATTCAGAAACGCTTGTCCGGTGTTCAAGTCTTTTGGTGGGTGTTCTTGGCTGCTACTGTTACGTGGGTGTAATAGCTGAAGAGGAAGCATATAAGTCAGAATTATTCCAGAAAGCCAAGGTAGGACAATTTTATGCTAATGAAGTTTTGGATAAATTTGAATGAAATGTATTCCTGGGAAAATTGTTATATTTGTGTGGAAAATATTACGTTTTATATAGGTTAACCCCTTCTCTTTCATTTATGCAGTCTGAGAAGAAATACTATGTGTCCTTAATATTTGAAAATATTGTAAGCCAACAATAAATATAGTAAATGAAATAATCTCACATTAAAATTTAATCTCATTCACATAAATACTGATTTTTATCTGTATTTTTAAAAGTTTTGCCTGTGATCATTTATACTAAAGAATCCTTGATTAAAGCTGTCAATTAAGTAGGCTCTAAGCATGAAACTCTTTTTTTCTCTCTCAGTAGTGCTCTGTCAATGGTATATTTTGCAGAGAACAGGGTATAAGATTTGTCCATTTTTTGATTGTTTACAATTATTAATTGTACTGTATGACCATGTATAACTTCTAAAAACACTTAATTTTATCTCTTAAGTGAATCTTTAAAAAGCAATGCTAAACTATAATTTTAACTAGAATTTGGATTTTTCCTTCTATTTTTAACAGTCTCTAATGCAATGTGCAGGAGAAAGTATCACTCTGTTTAAAAATAAGATAAATGAGGAATCTAGAATTGGTTCATTGAGAAATATGATGCATCTATGTACAAGTTGCCTGTGTAACTGTACCCAGGTAAGATATTCTTCTTACTTGATAGTATAGCCTCTTCAGGGAATTGATTACTGGTTTTGGTGTTACTGCTTTTTGGTCCATTCGTAAGTTTATAAAGTGATTTAAAATTAAATTGAATGGTAAATAAAGATTATATCCAGAGGAATAAAGCAATAGGTAATATGAGTTTTTCATGAAATTAATTTTATTATTTCTGGAAGATTTCTGAGATTGTCTTACCACTTTTATGTATAATTACATAGGTGACCTTTTTTTTTTTTGAGACAGAGTCTTGCTCTGTTGCCCGGGCTAGAGTGCCGTGGCGTCAGCCTAGCTCA